GGGGGGGGGGGAGGTTGGAGAAGAAGGCGATTAGGTCAGCTGATTCGCCTGGTTGGGGGGGTCGCATGGTGTCTACAGGTATGGGGTTGCCTTGAACACCTCGTGTCTATCTCTCTTTTGCTTCGAATCCAAGAATAGACCGGAGGCATCTATGCCGAAGATCCAGGTCGACCTGTAGATAAGAGTGCTCATACTTTGCCGTAATGCTAGTCTAGCACTCAATGCAGACAATAGGTACACATTTCACGTTCCTCATTCTCATTCTTCATTCAAGCTAAGTATGCTTGCTGTACATCATCCCCCAAAACTACTTTCCTAGATACATCAAGAACACAAGACTGTACCTCCCAAAACTTGCCGCCGTTTAAGCATACTTCTCACGCACCTCGGTCCACCCGGGCCGCAACTCCGCCGTCTCCAGCGCGGCTACACTCAACGAACTGTCGGCCACATAGTTCACGCGCCAGTCCACACTGATCCCGGCGCCGGCCTCGGTCTGCGCCCACACCGCCACGGCGATGGTGTTCTCGCCGTTGTAGTTCAGCACGCCCGCGGGGACCGGGTAGACGACCTGGTTGCCGATGTAGGGGAAGTACCGGCCGTACTGGTAGCCGTTGACGAACAGCTGGGCGCGGTAGGCGTTGCTGGGGGCATCGTCGGGGGTGCCGAGGACGAACGAGATGGAGACGTCCAGTCCGGTGGGGATCTGGAGGGGCACCGTGGTGCGGAAGAATTTAATGGTTGCGCCGGTGAAGGACAAGGAGGAAGAAGAGGACGAAGAAGCGACGGTCCACTTGCTGTCGTCGAAGTCCGGAAGGTGCCAGCCGACACGCTCGGCGAAGAGGCCGTCTTCGTTGTAGACGCCGCGGACGGGGTCGAGGTTGGATTCTCCGCCCGCGGTGCCGGCGAGGCGCCAGTGGGTGAATTCGGGGGCGGTAGAGGAGGTGTTAGACAACAAGCGCGCTTCGAGGATACCGCGGGGGTTGAGGACGCCGGTGGTCTCGTCGTGGCCGGTGTCGTCGTGAACGACGAGCAGGACGTTGGGGGTGGTCTTGGGGTCGGACGAGAGGTACTCGGCGGGGAAGGTGATGGTCTTGTTGGCTTGGGTGATGGTAGCGTTGCCGAGGTAGGAGCCGACGAAATGGCCGTTCAACCAGGCGGAGAAGCCGCTAGTTTGGGAGTTAGCTGGTTACTTTCTCTACGGGTAGAAGGGGTTAAAGGGTGGAGGGGAGGAGGGATGAGCTTACAATGCGTCTCCACCTTGAATGTTGAGGAATACGCCGGAGGCGGAGCTGTTGAAGTATCCGCGGAACAGACGAATGCCGTTGTGGAAACCTGTAGTCGTGATTAGTTGATTGTTGGTCTTGTACCAAGCCAGACTGCCTACCGTAGTCATCACCGTAAAGGACTGGAAGGGTCGCCGGGGGCTGGGGGTTGTAGGTCGTCATGTGGTCGGCCGCTTGAATTCTGTTAGGCTGTGACCTAAAGTAGATCGGGGTCGAGTATACATACCAACCCAAGCAGCACCAGTATCATCATATGATACACTACGCTCAGGCAAGCTGTCGTTCGATCTCCAGGATGTGAAAGCTGGAAGAGTAATAGCCTTGGGAGCAGCCAAAGAGGCTCGCAGACTACCGTGGGCAGACTTGGTCGACTTGATCTGCTTGCCGTTCCAGGTCAGGCTCTTGACCTTCTTGGAAGCGAAGACCTCAATCTCCGTAGCGTTGACCGCGTCACCCTTGATTTCAAGAGTGTTGCCATCTTCCTTCACGGAACGGACAAGGTAGGGACCTTGGATGAGTACTATAAAGAAGTCAGTATTCGGCAGACGATATGCCGAGGTGAGCTTTCCATACCTGTCTCGTTGGCAGGGGCCAAAGGATTCTCGGTCAGGGTAGGGGCCCAGAAGAGATAGGCTGCAGTCCGATCCAGAAGAACCACGCGCAGCTTGTCGTCGATCTTCAGCACACTCATTCCCGCGGACTGAGTGAAACTGACGGTCAGACTGCCTCCCTGCCGCTTGAAGGTCGGCTGAGAGCATTTCGCACACTTCGAGAGGACGGATCCAGACTTGGCACCCTTCACAGCGAACTCTCCAGACTCGCCGGTCGGCACCCAGAGGACAAGTGTCGGCTCGTTGTCGATGACCGAGTAGGTAAGCACTTCGGCCGTAGAGTACAGCAGAGTCTCCGAGCCGAGATTAAAGTCCGTGACAATGATCTTGGACTGATGTCCATCGATTCTGATCTTGCCTCCGTTGCGGGGAACGATCAGGTTTCCAGCCGACGTATTGAGGTGCAGCTTGAAAGCTTCATTCGTGTCCGAGGTGGAGTCCGCGTGCCGCGTCACGTAGAATGCCGCATTGGTCTCCGGGTTCCGAAGTTCATAGGTAGTGATAACGGAGTTGTCGGTGTACTGGGTTCCATTTCCGACCAGGTCCGTCATGGTCAAGTCGCCGGCACTGCGGGTGAACAGCGACAGCAGCTTGGTCTCGTAGTACTTGGAGCCAATTGAACGATCCTCAGAGATGGGTGCGGAGTAGTCATAGCTGGTCGCGGTCACAGGGGTAGCGATCGAACCCCAGTTGGTTCCTCCGTACAACATGTACAAGCTCATGGCGGTGACCCGCTGCGCGATGTTCCACCGGTAGAAGAGGTTGACAAAGTCCGCACCGGTATCGTCGCCGCATCCACCTTCGGGCCCAGCCCATGGGTTGTAAGAGCCGCCCTGGAATTCGGGGAGGAATGAGGGCATGTGGGGTTGGAACTCTTGGAAGTAGGTATAGTATTCGACCAGCTGATAAGGAACATAGGCGCCGTTGGTGGAGTCGCACACGCTAGTATCGCATGACCAGCACTAGATTGGTCAGATTGGTAGAAAGATACATATCGGAGATAAATCACTTACGGAAGGGTAGGAATCAACACCGGTAACGTCAACATTGCCTCCAGCATCCGACCAGTCACTGGACCAGGACTTCGCATTCATGTTGGGATCATTGAAGGTCAATGGAACTGTGATGCCATTGTCGCGTGCGCTTGCCTCGAGGAGCTCCATATAATCAATGGCAGTCTCATTGGGAACCCTCTGGCTCGGGTCGGTAAGCCATTGGTCACCGTACTCGTTCTCGATCTGGTAGCAGATTGTGTTGTGGCCATTGGTAACCTGGTAGCGACTGGTGATCTGAGAAACCTCATCAAAGTATGGCTTCCAGGCAACCGTATACCGCGAGTCATTGTTCCGCAGGGTTCCGTATTCACCGGAGGTCAACCAGAGGGGGAACCCGCCAGCATTGGCCTCCGCGTTGACGTACGGTCCGGGACGGACGATGATGTACAGGCCGAGCTCCTTCGCAAGATCGAAGATCGAGGTGATGTTGTGGGCGCCGGTGGAGAAGTCAACTGTGTGGTTGTTCGGGGAATGATATCCCCAGCTGGTGTAGATGGAGAAACCGGTAAAGCCAGCAGCCTTGATCTTCTCCAGAATGTCCCTCCACAAGCCGGGAACGGGAATGCGCCAGTAGTGAAACTCGCCAGAGAATACAAAGACTCGCTGGTCATTCACATGGAAACTGTAATGATCCCATTGAACGTCGGTGGTAAGTCCATTGTTGAAGACTTCCCACCCCTCAGCAGTCTGGTTCTGAGCAGCGGTCAGCAGACCTGAGTTTGCCAGCAAAAGCGAAATTGGCAAGAGTAATCGCGCCATGGCTCAGACCATGCACCTGTCTGCGCGGGCAAGACAATGGCAAGGCAAGAAAAAAAAATGTGCTTGGGAGAGAAACATTTTCTTTGAACGGCCGCGACCAGGCGCCCTCAATTTATACCCGGTTCCTTCGCCAGGCAGGTAGGAACCCCACGTCACCAGAATTTTTGCATCGTCAACAGGACAGAAGCTACTAGACACCGGAATTGACTTTTGGCGTGGGCATTGACGGAAAACCGAAGGAGAGAGAGAGAAAAAAAAAAGTCCTCACGAGCTCAACTTGGTAAAAAGCTCAGCTTTGCTGGGGAAACAGGAAAGAGGACCAAACGACCAAACGACCAAACGGACCCGACATTGTCCACTTAACTCCACTGGCGGAGGCCGGAGACGGTAAGCGATTGGGCCCAAGCGAGGACATTTAATATGTGGTTGATTAGGTCGCTCATGCGATGCACTAGAGCCGTTGCGTGTCGACAAACTGGTAAATGAAGAGGCGCAGAGCTTCTCTGCCGCGTGCTTTCGAGCAAAGAGCCCAAGGCGAGATGAGGGATGTGGGGAAAGGGACCAGGGTCTGAACCATTGCCGGCTCGTCATAGCCACCCAAGTCCGGCGGGGAGACGGCTGTGGGGAAATTTAGCCTGGGGGTTTTTCCTCCAGTCACCGTCCACGCCCGGCCTGCGATTTCGCCGGAGACTGACTTCTTCGAATAAGAGGGGGAGGGGCCGGTCATATTTCTCTTGATTGAATGATTGTTTATCTTGCCGACCTGGCAAATTGTCTTATGTTGTGTGGACCTGCCCTGGAAGGATGAGCCTCGGTTCCAATTTCCTCACCATTGTGTGGAAATCACTCCCATCGCAATCAATGCAGATCAAATGACCGACGGCGACGATAGCATCGTTGCAGAAGACTGAGTCCGACTTCGACCGGATCGATGCCAATAATGGGTTGCATCCTGGGAGCTGGGAGCGAGTTATACTGGAAAGTTGAAAGGAGGGAGAGAGACTCTGGCATGGAGGCAGCGGTATCTGAGCAAAGGGTAGGCGGTAGCTCACTTGACCGCCCTTTTCTCAACTCAAAACAACAGAGGAACGACAAACTACGAGAACATTTCGAAAGTCTTCCATTCTCAGACCATGATACTGATTCGTTTGTTCCATTGTTCCGATCTGATCTTGCTTATTTGGTCAATAATAGCTATTCACTTTTCCGCATCCTACCCAGAGACTCCCAGCGAGAACAAAGCCCAGACCCACCTGCAAATGACGCCCCCAATATGTACACCAACCAAAACAAAGCATTGAACGGCAAAAGGACAAAATTTGTTATAGACAAGAATAGCAAAGAGCTGCAGCCCAATCCCCCATCGCAAGCAAGACACGGGGCTGGAATAGTATACAACTGAGCGTGGGGAAAGTGCGAAAGCAGCCACCAGGTAACCAGCTCCCGCACAGCTTTGGGCGCAGCGTGCGGGGATCCATCGCACCCGAGTCGGTCGGGGCGCAATCGCTGATTCATCCTCGATGGTCTGCGCGGCCGGTCCAGAGATCCAGAGCGGCATGAATTCTGACAAGAGAGAACCGCAAGGAAGAAATTGAGCTGAGATAAGCGACAACCTCTGGTGAAGCCGACTCAGAGGATTTGCGTCATCTAGCTCGTCGAATACTCCTCGAAGCGGAACTGAGGTAAAAGGTTTTCTCGAAGAGGCACCAGTGCTCAAACTCCCCGAGCCTAGGCAGATCGATCCAGAACCTCAAACGGGTTGGAGTCCTTGGCGTCGACCACAGGGGGGGCCTGCAATTCTTCCTTGGTGGTCTTCTTGGCGCCCTTCTTGGAAGGGACAGTAGAGAAGCCCTGGTCGGAGTCCGCATCGCTGGAGACAGCGCGGGCCTTCTGCTTGGCAGTGGTGGCGCGTGTGCGAATGGGCGAATTTTCGACAGCCGACTTCTGCTGAGACTTGTTGTGCGAGCGGAGAGCCTGAACGCGGTTGAGGGCCTCATCCTCGGTGCTCTCGCTGGTCTCTCCATTCACCTCGACTGCCTTGCGGATTTCGCGGCTGATACCCTTCAAGGCATCCAAGCCAGCCTTCTCAGCGGCCTGGATGTTGCTGGGCTGGCGAGCGCCCGGCTCCTTGCGATACAGATAAGACCGGACAAAGAAACGAGCGAAGAGGTAAGTCAAGGGAAGAAGGTACACAACGTTGAGCCAGATCGCGAAACCCTGTCCGGTAGTATCCATGCAAGTGACCATGGGACCAACACGGTGGGGTTGCACAGGAGCAGCAGCAGGGGTGTCAGGAACTCCCACGTTCTCGGCAGGGCCTTCCGCACCTGCAGCCCGGAAAGCAAGCTTCTTGATCCAGGGCACCAATCCCTCCTCCGCAGCTTCGGCAGCCACAAACTGGACAGTCGAAAGGGGCGCTTCGAAAGCACCCTGGCTGGCTGGGAGTGTGTAACTGATGAAGAGATAGGAAGCAGCCATGGCAGAACCAATGACGAATTGAGTGATCTGCATAGTGGTCAAGGACCTCTTGATCACGGTAGGGACACGGATACGCAGAGCGGTGATGGTATAGTAAGTGTACTGTGCAATACGTCAGTCAGCGCTAGGCGAGCAACCCTGTGAAAAGATTTTTGGAGGTACGTACCATCAAAGCGTGAATACCGGAGTTAACCAAGGTGAAGATCCAGATAGGAGGCGCAACATAGCGAATACCAGCCCACATGCACATCATGGCACCAGCATGGTGGTAAGTCTGCAGCGTAGAGCTCTTCTTACCCTTGGCGAGGATGATCACGGTGTCCAAAACTTCGTAGAACTTGGACAGATAGAAGATCCACCCAAGGAAGGCCAGTCCCTCGTTCCACAGGCGACCAACATCCGTGAAGTCAGGCACGCCCGTCTCAGCCAGCTTGTATTCCGGGTTCCGAATGGTCCAGTGCTCGACAGAAGGATCGTAGACAGCGGCGTTACCATAACCGCGCGGGCCATTGACCTTGCACAGAGTATCTGCGACGGCTGCGACGTAGTTGGGATCATCGTGACTGGGCCACGAGTTGCGGAAGGCGCGGATCATGCCGGCGAAGGTCCACGCGGAATAGATAGCCAAGAAGACATTGTGGAGGATCACGAAGAGCTTGAAGAGCCTCGTTTGACTGAATCTCCAGGGTTTGTAACCGCGACTCTTGTTAACCCGGTTCAACAAGATGACAGTGACGGCGTAGACGCTGGCGATGGTGATGGGGACGCGCACGTCCAGGAGCTGGTTGTATAGTTCGGGAGGGATGTTGAAGGGCTGGTACCAGGTCGGTTCGGAGGTAATAGGCGCAGGCAGCGTAGCAGGAAGCTCACTGGGAGGGAATTGTAGAAGAGAAGAAGGAGGGAGTCCGAACCGAATGACAGCCGGGTTCGACTGGCCATCGACGGTGATGTCGACCATTGTGACGCAATCGGGAGCGGACAATGGTGTATAGGTATGTATAGAGAGGGGGATGATGGTAGTGATCACAAAGGGAGATATGGTAGTGCCTAAGTGAACAAGAGGGAGGAATTGAGCAGATAGTTATGCCCTAGTCACGTCCAATGGCACTGATAATGGGGTAAATGGGGAAGCTTTTCTCAACAGTCCACGTCCTTGATCCCAAAAAAGGGAAGGAAGCCGGCTTTGGAAAAAAAAAAAAGTTCTCGTGGAAAACCACACCCGCAATACTAACTTAGCACAAACTGCTAGGGCCCCAGGCGCCAATCAATCCGATAAGAGTTCGGATAAAGGATCAATTATTTTGTTATTGCATCAACCCTGTTAATCCTCGGGATATGCAATGTGGGAAGAGAAGAGGATATTTAAAAAGAGCAATGACGAAGGTTAACCAAGAAAATAAAAAGGGAGGAGATCGTCGTGGGCGCCTGGGAGGAAAGCAGAGGCAATTATCTCTTTTCAACAGGTGAAACTTGGGACTACTCAGAAACAGTCAAGAGGTCAATAATATCCATTATCCAGTCACTTTGATCAATTCCAACTTCCATTCATCGCAGCTCCGACCTGTCGCCGGACTGAGCCAAGCAGGATACCCAGATAAGGACAAATGGGAGCAACGACAAGGGCGTTAAAGTGGAGCCATGATGCATTTTGTTGGGAATTCGGTCGCCCTTCAAAGCCTCGGCCCAACAAAGGCAGGCAGACTTCAATGCGCGCAATAATGTTTCTGGAGAGGTCCGGTATGCTTGTGATTGTGATTAACGCCGGTATCACACCTTATTTGGGATTCTGGGGGAGGTCCGGCCACTCCCTGGCAAGAAATTGTGGTCGGCAACCAAGGGATGCTTTGTAGGAGTAGGAGTTGTTGTAGTTCCAGAAGGGGCTGGGAATGGAAGCTATCTTCATAGTCTTGTGAGAGCCTAAGGCATCTTATCTTCCCCGTTCCTGCATAAAAGAATCCTTTTTCTCTTCTCTGCTTCAATAGGGAGGAGTGCTTTGCGCCTCGGTTAACCAACCAGCTCAATTGGATAATTCTCTGACCATTTAGTGACGCCAATGGTGGCCACCATCCATCCATGTTCACGCTCTCCGCAATCAAGCCATTGACGGATGAACAATAACATACAGTAACCACCATTTCAAATCCAATGACATCAAGTAGACCTCATCAAGAATTAATTGCGAGCCCCGTGTTTAGGCAGCCATGTGAGGCGGTAAACAGCGGCAATATTCATTCTTCGAACTTGAGTCAGCATGACCCGCCGACGTCATTGCCTCTCCCTTAGTTACTGGCTATACTCAATCGGATTAGGACGCTTGGGCTACTTCAGCATCTGTCACCCATGTTTCTTCTAGCCTAGAACCTTATATACAGTTGAATGTAGAGAGAACGACTGATATCCAGCAATCACGATGAGATTTGCTGAAGTACATGTGCAGCAGCACGAGCACATCGCGCATAGAATAACCGGCTAGTGTTACATATAAACATGATAGTCACCCTTCGCTCAGCGGGGTTTGGTGTTAAACGGAACAGGCGGCGGCGCAGAACCCGTGCTATTGACAGGTGTTGATCGCATGCCCGCCTTCTTTGGAGGCGGCGGCGGCGGAGCCTTTCTCTGGCCCAAGGAGTCGATGCTTGACGAGGAACGATGTACAACCGGGTGCGGGGGCACCGGGGGCACCTGAGCACTTGGGGACTTCTGATCATCGAAGAATTTGTTGACCCGCTGCGAGATTCCGTATCTCTCATTGAGTCCGTTTAGCCTTTGTTTGCCGGCATCGATTTTGTCACCATGTCGCTCGCGAAAGTCGTTGAGCGACGCAGAACCACTCCGTGCGTGAGTGGCAGAAACAGGCGATGATTCGTTTGCGTATGTACTTCCTCGTGCTGGTGGAGGAGGTGCTGGGGAGGAGGATGTAGTTCTCAACTGAGAAAAGCGTGACTGGAGCTCATTGACCGGAGCTTGACCAACTGGGCCCGCAGTTGGTGGCGAAGCAGCGCCGGAAGGCCTGCTATCACTCCCAATTCCGAGAGCAGGCACTGAGATACCGGATCGAGAGAGGTTAGAAGTGGCATTCTGATTCAGGTATCCTTCAAGAGGTTTAGTTGTTGACGGCTGTGTGGAATATGCGGGAGGCGGAGTGGGCGGCTGCGAGGATAGTGTTGAGCTGGCCCGGGACGGAAGTCGAGGTGGAACGCTGGGTTTTGGTTTGGAGCTTGCAGATGTCACAGAGTCCACCGGAGAGTCCACGCGCCTGACTGGGGGCGGGGGTAGGTTGGCGGTATCTAGTCCTGTCCGGTTCACTCGATATGGTAGGGGAGGAGCTGCTGGCTTCTGAGCCTCATCGTTTCGAGCTTGCTCCTCCTCCTGCTGTCGTGCGTGTTGTTGTTGAATCTGATCTTCTGATAAGGGGGCACCCAGGCCTCTCCGATCAGGTGTGAGTTCGTTCGGGAGCGCTCCGGCGCCGTGGTACTTGATGTGCTTCGGTGGTGGTCCAAAAGAGGCAGGATCCTTCAAGGATGAGAGTGGTACGGCGACATGCTCTTCACGCTCGTCCTTGTCCTTTCCTTTACCCATCCATCCGGCCTGAATGTTGAAGCGTTGGTCAGCACTAAGCTCAACTGCGTCATCGGGAGCAGACACGAACCACTTGATTGATGCCTTTGAAATCATTCCTCCAACCTTCCTTCTTCCCCTCTCGGCCTTTAGGGTGCCAGCCCTCTTTCATAACCCCTCTGAAGCCGCTCATATCGACTGGTGAATGTAGAACTGACAGTGTCTATGTGAACCTAAGCAGAAGGCACGCCGATCATTGGAATGGCAGCGGTGGTTGATAAGAGCCAGACGGATGCGGTCGGGGGTGGAGCGGAGCCCAGCCCACGCCTGTCCGGATTTGGCTAGTCGAAAACCTTCCACCATTTTGAGGCCTGCCACAGTCACGTGCCGGTATACTCATTTAGTCGGCTTTGTACGAAACGAACAGTGTACAGATATGGTGAGTGTAATGCCATGAAACGAGGTATAGAAATGGTTACTACTTTTGTACAGAGAGCTCTCGTTGCTTTTTTCCAAGAGGGTTCCAGATTCTGCAGTCACGACAAGCAGGTTCTGGGAAAGCTCATGCCTGGCCTACCACATACTGCACCCTTGCAATGACTGTAAAAGATGTAGTCTGGTCAGGAACACTCGTACATCGAGTTAAGTCAGAGGTCACAGGGAACAGAGTCTCAGTGATGACGACGATCGATGATTCTTGTTTAGTAGTGAGAAGTTATGTCGAATTTAAGGAAGTGTTAGGAAAATGTATTCCGCGTGGGCCTAGCGCCAACAAAATCCCTCTAGAATAGAACCAATTATGGCCAATCGTGATTTCCACTTTCATGTGGTAGTGCAGGAGAGAACCCAAGTTTCCTCTCGAAGCCTCGCATGTGATAAGGCTCTATTTGTAATCGTGATCATCAGCCACCAAGCGGGTATATGTATATAACTGACTTGTACCTCCCAAGTGAGTAGAGGATGTTCGTCGAAGGCCACAAAAAGTATACCGCCAATTGATCATGGCGCAGACCAAAGTACTTTTGACAGGGGCCACTGGATTCATGTACGTCTCATCTTAAAAGAGCGTCGTATGAGACTCTAACGCGATCATTGCAGTGGAGGAACTGTACTGCATCAGTTGCTCCAATTGGCTGAGACTCAACCCGCAAAGCTATCCATCACGGCTGTTATACGTCGCTCAGAGCAAGCAGATCTCTTGGCTAGCAAAGGGGTTCAAACGACCCTTGTGTCTGGTCTTGATGATGCAGACGGACTAGCACGAGCGGCGAGCAGCCATGATATCGTTGTTAATGTTGCGACCGGCTTCCACGTTGCCGCCACCAAGGCACTCATACAGGGCCTCAGCAAGAGACGTGAGCAGACTGGTCGCAATGTCCACTTCCTTCATGTGAGTAACTGTGTCCGCTGTTACTCACAGTATTCTTCAAGGAAAGCATATTGACAGAGCAATCTTGGAACTCCTCAGCTCTCAGGAACAACCTGCGTATCCGTCCCATCTATCACACCATCCTCATTCGAGTTGCGAACATTTTCCGATCAGGATGATGATATATTCGATTATGAGCAAACGCGCGACTCTCAAGAAGCCTACGCGCAGAGAACGGCCGAACTTACAGCCATACAGACGAGTGAGAGCTTGGGGGTCAAGGCGTACGTTGTCATGCCCCCACTCGTCTATGGCCGGGGTAGCGGGTGGTTCAAGAAGCAATCACACCAAATCCCCACACTGATCAGAAATGCAATTGCATCTGGCTACGCAGAACATGTCGACACCGGCGAAGCGCAGCTGGGCCATGTTCATGTAGAGGACCTGGCTCGTCTCTATGTCACGTTAGTGGCGAGAATACTGTCCAGCGAGGAAATTCCCTATGGCCGAAATGGTTACTACTTCGCCAATACTGGGTCTCATAAGTGGCTTGATGTGACAAGCCGGATAGGCAAGGCAGGGTATGACATGGGCGTCTTGAAGTCAGCTAGCCCGAGATCGATAAGCCTTGAGGATGCTGCAGAGAAACTCGCCGATGGAGACTTGGGTTACGCGGAAGCGTGCTTTGCTTCCAAGTGAGATTCAACTCTTCAATTCCAAACTGAAAAAGATCTGACAGAACAAAACAGCTCTAGTACTAGACCCGATAAGGCTTTCGCGGTTGGATGGAAGCCCTCAAAGACCGAGCACGACTGGGAGAACTCCATCAAGTCGACCTTCGAGGATATATTGCAGGAACAATAAGGGTCGCGCCTCGACTCGAGCCAAAGCTCAGGATGCTAGTTGGCGACCGTATTGAAGGCTTCGTGCCGCTGCGCCGCTCGGAGCTAGGTCATGCACCTGAGATTTGTTTTATGGGAAGTCGCCAAGCAGTGGGTGAATGTGGATATTGTCCTTCAGCATGCAAAGCTTATCCATTTGACCCCACTTGTCCATGTTCGACAAGGGGCAGGGGTGCTGGGGGCACTCCCTATCCTCAAAGCTAGCACTGGCTTTGCGGCAGGGTTCAGGGCTCGTACACTTGTCGATGCTGGGAAACTCTAGGGGAGGTGCAGGCTACGACATGATTTGTACACGATCAGATGTAAATAAACTTCGATGAAGAAATATAATCACGAGGTGGAATTGCCGGCGCATGATCGTACTGCACGTTGAGCCAAGATTCTCAGCAAACCAGTCATTGAGGATCACCGTGATCACTATCCATAGAGAAAAGCGATAGGAGACATCGATGAATGGAAGCGGTAACTGCCTGGCGGCGATAACGCGAGGCGGAAATTCAAGGGGTGGAGGCAGGTGGGATGCAGTGGGATCTTAAAATGGTCACATATAGGCCTCGACTCAAGCTTTGTGGTGTCCCGGTCATGTTGTGAAACGCTCGGGATTACCCAAGTAACGGTCGATCATGAATCGCAGGGAATAAATGAGGGGAGAGAGAAGGCAAGTGCCCTCCGATCACTTATTTGTTCTTTTTATAAAAGGGGGGGGATTAAGCTATGCCTGGGCGAAAGAACTGTGCTGCCTCGATGCGGATCATGGGATCCATCATCCATGCCAGTGGGATATGAAGGTTCCTTAATTTGCCCGGGCTGTCTGTCATCCATAGGAAGAATAGGCAGTCGGTCCGGTAAACTTTGGAACTTAGCGGGGGCGTACGGTGGGGAGTGGTTTTTGGCTGGTTTGTCTTCCCGCTCGGCTTCTGGAAGCCATGCAGCATCGCCATTCCCTGCCATTCTCATCCGTACTTACTCCGTACATTCATTCTACTTGCTCATCCGATGAACCTCATTCCTCAAGCCAAGAACAACTTGCCCTCTTCTGGAATCACACCTGAGCAAATAGTCATATGACGGGCACGTTCAGCTTTTAGATTATTCTTCTACAGCTCTATGTCCAATTATAACGTCCCTACAACCAACTGCCCGGTCGGGAAAAGAGACCACCCATCGGAAGTACTGCCACTTAGTACTTAGGTCGCTCTCGATCATTACTGAGCACGATTCCATTCGTCGAGTCAAACCATGCTCGAAAGTCATATCCCTAAAGCTCTGACACTGGCTCATGAACAATATATTGTCACTCCCTGCCACACCAGATAGCTTGTCACATATTGCCGGCAAGTTCGGCGGAGTGCATACGTCAACTGTTCTATCGGTGGCTGGCTTTCAAGACTAGATGCCCCGAGTCGATTCATTGGTTTAGAGAACAATCACACCGCTTGATACTTATCAACATCTGTTAAGCACCATCAAAGCTCTGTTTGGGAATCTCTCCGTGGCTAGCGGGTCTCTTACGACCCTGCCTCATATGGCAGAAACATGCTTGATCGAATAGCGCACGGATTACCGTACTGCCTGGATGGATATCTGTCATCAGGCCACCGATTTTCCCACGTGCCAAAGGTAGAATTTGAGTCAGAAAACGTGGGATTTTTGGGGGCGCGAGGATCGCACAGTTCCAACCCTGCAAGGATGCATCTACAGGGAGAGCTCTTGCGTTACCGGGGGAGGTTGAAGTGCATGTAAGAACTAAGCTGGGGCCGGAAGGCTATGTTTGGCGTCCTCTCGGACAGACCGAACTGCTGCACTGACTTTGTCTTTCAAGGTTCGTCGAAGGGATATGGAGCAGATACTTTGAAAAAAGTCTTAACGAAAACATCGGGGCTTCTCCTTTCTTCTACTGAGTCAGTTCGGAGCACAGTGGATGGAGAACAATTAATCTCTGGCAGTTAGTGCGCCGTTCCGCACCGAAACACGTACTCCGACCTGTTTCCCGCGAGACACTTGAAAAGTGACCGACCGGGTGGAAATCTTCCTGTCAAAGCGCCCCCACCCGCTATCGATCATGCTAAGAACCAGAGGACTGCCTTTGGCCCCCCGTGATGAGTATACCATCCACATAATGGAAGCTCACAGGCTGGATCACTTGTGCGTATTCTAGAATGTCTACCTTGCAGAGGATCGGAGAAGCAAATCAGCCCCAGGGTTACTGTAATATTGCATCATGGGTTAGGGCTAGGCTCACCCACTGTGCTTTGGGCCATGTGGTTCGGTCTCTATATTAACGGCCAGTTCACCTGGCCCCTGATCGATGGATCAAGGAACAAAAGCTAGTCGGACCCCCGGATTGTCCCACTGTCCTCTTCAACTTGAGCATTGCTCGTCCCACGATGCTTGTGGGCATGCTCCATCGATAAAGGACCTGGATATGTCGGACCTCGTCGGTCTACCGCCAAAAGGCACCGACCTCACAGCCAACAATGAATCCAAAAATGACGCCATCGTCGCGACAATGTACACTTTGGCTTGCATCACAATCAGTGTCCGGTTGTTCTCTCGGATAAAGGTGCAGCAGGCTCGCATAGGCTTGGATGATTGGCTGATCGTCGCAGCGCTGGTACATTCCCAATGTTTTCTACTTACTTGACCTCCACTGATGACTTGACATAGCTCTCTGGAACGGCGAATATGATTAGTGCTGTAGTGGGTTAGTGGCTTTCATGTCTTCTCATGTGATCATATGCTAACTACACGTAGGGGGGAAATACGGCGTCGGCAAGCACATCTGGGTAGTAAACATGGACGATATCGTCGCCATGGTGAAGGTCAGCAATGTTTCCTGCCGCATAAATGAAATAAATGACTGACTTGGAAACATTACTTAGGTTCTGTTCGCCAATGTCCTCCTATACGTGACCACTGTCACGCTCATCAAACTCTCGATTATCCTGTCCTACCGGCGCATCTTCGGCATGAGGTGGACCATGTGGGCTTGTATAGTCCTAGCTCTGAGTTACTGGGTCGGCTGCACCATTGCGTTCCTGGCGGCCTGTCAACCTGTCTCTTACTACTGGACCAAATACCTGGACCCGGAAGGGGGCAGAGAGAGATACAATCTATACGCATTCTACATTGGTCACGCAGTCGCAAACATGGTCGGTGATATAGTCATCTTGCTGGTGCCTGTTCCTCTGGTCTGGAGACTTCAGCTGCGGCGATCGCAGAAGATCCAGATCTTAAGTATCTTCCTCCTAGGCGGATTGTAAGTCTTTGCTTCTTCCACTGCCATGCCTTTCGACAGAGTGTAACTGACGGTTTACCCATCTGACAGCGTCTGTGTGGCGAGTGCGATCCGGATCTACTACTTCACATTCGTCAACAGCGTCGATGTGACCTGGATTCTGGGCGATGTCTTCATCTGGTCGAGCATTGAGCCCTCCATCGGCATTTTCTGCGCTTGTCTTCCCGTTCTACAACCACTCTTCCGAACCATCCTTAATCGCATGCTGGGCACACCTGCTCCCGTCAAGCCCAAGCCCCGCAGCACTGGTCCACCTAAAGCCGTCCGGTACGCGCCCAACATCCTCAGCAAGATCCAAGGTGGAGATGAGAGGATCGCTCGTCGCGACGAGGAAGCCATGCTAACGACGACATCGGCGCATCTTGAGCTCGACAGTATAGGGAAAGGCCGCCATAGCGATGAGGAGGCCGGCCCTATGGATCTTCTGTCTATCACGATACAGAAGGAGTTTCATGTCCGGGAAGAGCATCGATAAGGCTGGTATGATGACAAAAGCGCAATCATAGAGAGGGGGATGGCCAAGTGCTTGGTCAAGATCCCGTTGTTATTCTTGTTGAGTATTTACTGTACATAATGTTTACTTTTGCACAGGGCTGGCGTTTTCTTTTGCGGCACCGGAGTATGTGTGGACAGCGGAGTTCGATCTGTGAAGCTCTCATTCAGTTAGACATTTACAAAAACAATCATGACTTAATTTTCTTTTCAAGGGCGCGATTCTCACATTCCCCTAAAAACGGGTAGTTCTCTTTTCATTTTATTTTGATGTTATGTTACTCAGTAACCGGGAGTGAGCTGACATCTTGACGAGAAACAGAGTCTCACCAAAAGGAAGAAGCAACAGGGGCCCTAGTAGTATCTGCAGGCTGTCTGCATATCGGCCCGAAATCCGATTCGGCTTTGAGAGTCCCCGACTGGGGTCGGCATGCCGACATGCACGTTTCCTGTGGGGTCTATGCAAGTCAACTGCCACGAGGTGAATACTCATCTTTTGGCCTACTATACCCAATTTGGCCGTGTTTATCCCATAAGCGAGCAGTCGTTACATAGTAGGGCGAAACACATAGATGTAGTGAGCTTTACACACCTTTCTTGTCCATTTCATCTTCCTGTCATTTTCTCCTGGTGTTTTGGACTTCATCTGTGCAGCTCTTCTCACCTGTCTCCCTTACCGTCTACCATCATATCCCCAGTGAAGCTACAGACAGTCTATCTTCGCTGCACCAAGTCACTTCCATATCACTTTTCTTTTACATAGCCCTGCTTCCTTCTCTCGAGTCTTTCCCAAAGGTCAAGCCCAAGGATATCACCTTCATCTCACCCAACCCTCCCAACAAGCAGAGTTAACCCTCACTACAGATCAGAACATCCCCTCAGCCCGCAGCCCTCAGCCCTCATCCTCCCCTCACTCCCAGGGCATCCGAAAGCCACTTCCCCGCCACCAACTCGAATCTCAGGTAGTCATGGGCCCCCCCGGCCAAGCGTCGCTCGTTGAAATAGCCCTTAAGTCTCGAAGGGGACTGGACAGACTGGCCGCTCGCTTCGCAGATCGCGCCCCACACGCCTTCCATGTCCACCGGGTGCAGTTCGCGGCCTGGCTGGAGCACTGGAGCGTGTTGGAGACCGACCGGGTGGACATGACGTTGGACTACCAGGTACGCAACAAGCTCGAGGCGGGGAGTGAGCTGCACAGCGAATTGCGGTTGATGCTGTCGAAGATTTCCTCTTGTGAGTTCCTTCCTAACCTTGACCGGAAGGTTTCAGATGTGAAGGGTTTGAGAGATAGGAGGGTTGTGCTAATTGCGGCATGGGCTCAGATCGGTTACAGTTGAGGACGGCTTTGAAAACCGTTGAGAATGTTGAGGCTTTGGAGGTTGCTGTTGTTGGTGCTGCCATCGCTGCTATGGGAATAGATGATGCCTGGTATTCTTCCGATTCATCAGAGGCAGCCGACCTGGACGCCGAGTTCGCCGAAGAGCCGCGACACAGGGACTGCGAGGACCCGTTCACCAACCTCCTGAAGCTCTGCCGCTACGAGCTCTGGCATCTGATCCGGACGCTGGACCGGAACACGGCTCTCTTCGCCCAGTCCAGCATGTATGCGCCGAGTGACCTGCTGGTCCACCACGCCAACTACATCGTCTGCGACGAATGGGATCGGGAGGTCACCGAAAGGTTCGAGGCGATGGTCTGCCGCGCCCTCCGCTACCGCTGCAAGGTCCATAACAAGGTGCTCCAGGCCCGACTGGGGAAGATGGTCTGCGATCGTCGCAGGGCGTTGAACTATCACAGTCGCTCCCAGGATGACTCCCCCATGCACATCCCCAGGCAGAACCTGAACCCCGTCACCTTCGTGTTGGCCATGCGGGACGCAGCACAGGAAGAGCATCCCCCTCCTCCCCCTCTCGCCCCGGGCCAGGAAGAGTTCGAGTGTCCGTACTGCCGCTTCAAGCTGCCAGCAGCTCGATACGCCTCGCATGATGCATGGAGGTGAGTTTCTTTCCCCTTCGCCCCTTCCCCCAGTCCATCTTACCTTGCTAACACCCCGAGGCAAAATCAAGAAAACACGTCCTCACCGACCTGGAGCCCTACATCTGCATCTTCGACGCCTGCACCGAGGAAGCCAACACCTTCCACACCCCACAGCAATGGCTCTACCACATGGAACTCCACCACTCATCGACCTGGATCTGCCGCGTGCCCCGCTGCCGCAACCGCACCTTCTACCGACAAATCGCCTTCGAGCAACACGGCATCAACGCCCACGGCTATACCTCCGAATCCCTGCGGACCATCTGCCACGAGTCCCGCCGCCCCTACCCAGCCATCTTCCACCGCTGCCCCTTCTGCGGCCCGCGCCCCGACCAAGACCCCCCCCGCGACGACGACGCCTACCCCGGCAACGCGGCCGCCCACCACGCCGCCCACCGACTGTACCACCACGTCGCCCGCCACCTGGAGGAGTTCGCCCTCATGGCCATCCCTTACACCCCGAGTGAGCCGGTCGTCTACCCTACACCTCCCGCCGGTGGTGGTGGTGGTGGCAGATACAGCCGCCATATCCTGCCCATTCCGCGGGTGGAGGACCACGGCAACTGGGAGTGGATCTTCGATGAGAACCTCCCCGCGTACATGTACCGCCGCGACGTGTTTCCGGGCTCGTCGCGGTCGTCGGTGTCGGCGGCGTCGACGCCGTACTATCGGCCCTCGACGCCCGTGGACGGCCCGGATATCTCGGAGTTGGTGGATGTGGTGGAGAGTGAGGATGCGGATGTGTCGATCTATGAGGACGCGGAGTTGTTTGAGGGGGACGAGGATGGGTTCTTGGACGGGTATGATGAGTTTGTTGCTGGGTATGCGGGGGCACGCGGGTTGACTGGATGGGATGGGGAGAGTTGAGGAGATGGGGTGTTGAGAGAGAGAAGTATCTGAGGGGGAGATTGGCTTTGAGGACCCGGAGATTTGAGGGAATGTGGTGGTGGTGGTGGTGGTGGTGGTGGCGGGTTTGTCAAGTGTAGATGATCTGCGGTACCATGTAAAGAGTACATACTCGTTATGTCGGCAGTCTTCGATCTGATGCTGTTTGTTGATTAGTTGAATCGTACGTGATCTATTCTCTGCAGTGTGTGGGGGTAATTGTCCCAGTTGCCTACCGTACAGGCCTCCTTTACCCCGTTCACTGCACGCATATTTATTATATCACCCTTGGCCTTACGGCTAAAAGATCGCTTAACCAATCGGCAACCAAGTGGCATCAAGTGAACTCCCCAGAATCATACAACTCCCATCAACCATCAACACACCACTCATCCCGTACAACGTAACTGAGAGATTAGAACCCAAACGGACCATCATCTAAAGCCCCCAAACAGACACCCTGTCCCTCGAACCCACGGCTCGGGAGACCCAGTACTAATGCAGGTCTGAAGCCCCAGGCCATGTGGGGAGGATGGTTGTGGCTGGGGAACGGGGGCTGAGTACTCCCAGAGTCAAACCGACTGGTCCATTACAATCATTGACTTTGACTGAGGAAATAACTGGAGGGATTGGGTTCGGATGGGCAGGGAGATCTTAGCCCGTGAACGTGTTACGTTGTACACGTAGCTCAAGACGCGAAGCACTGAGACAAAAATCATGGATGATATGGAATCTAATTCTAAGGACAACAAGAATAATCTATCAACGCGATAACAAAATCACAAATTGCGCAATATGTAGCAGGCAGTATATGCAGGAGATAAAAACGGCCATCCCTGAACCCCTGTCATGTAAATGCAACCTCAAGCCGCACCAAGTGCCGAAGCAACCCCCTCGATCTCACCCGCAATCTCCGTCAACAGACTATGCACCTCTTCTTCATCCAGAATGGCCCCCTCAACCCGCACACCAAATCCAATCGAGTCAGTCTTGGAATCAGGGCCGATATCGATATACACATTCTCGTCAGGAAGGAAGGACGTGTCCAAAGCCGCCACCGACGTTGCCGTCTCGGGCAGCGGCTCCGATGGGATGAAGTCCGTCGGGACGCCGATCTGCAACGGCAAGAACAGCTCACCGCTCTCGTCTACGTTCGCGTCCGGCGCGGTGTCATTGGCGGACGGGACAGCGTTCTGCATCCAAAGCAGGTTCACCCAGGTGTTGAATAGATGGCCGCCGGTTTGTTGGGTGCTGGACCACGAGAGCACGTCTCGGAGCGAGCTCTGCTCGTACGACACACGTTCTGCGAGGGCCGACTGGATGGCTCGTGCCTGCTCGGCAAGAGCATCAGCCGGAGAGGCGTCCTCGCCTGGCGCGACCTCGGGAACGCGGAATGGATTCACATTGAGACATGGGCCGGATAATCTGTCGATGTTTTCGAAGGACGCAGAACGGCCAGTCTGGTAAAGGCCCATCGTAGGAGACGACACCCCGGTGAGTCGAGCGATGTTGCGAGAAACCGCGAGGAGAACCACCGTCTGCAGGCTGATGCCTGCTGCCCGACAGCTGCTTTCCAATTTCGACAAGCCCTTGATCTTTTCCCAGGCACCGACGAATAGCTGCTCGGGCACCTCGCCTCCGCTGCTGTGGGATTTCTTGATCAGAGTAGGGGTGGCTGACCCCACAGCTGACGACCAGTATCGCTTTTCATCGAGCTCACGGAGAGAGCCAAGCGAGAAATCCACGAAGGCCGGGAAGTCAGGGTTGCTGTCGAGTTCCTGACCACGGTAAAGCTGGGCAAGCTCAGTCACAAACATTGGCATGGTCCACGCATCGTACGCAGCGTGGTTGATCAGCACGAGAATACCATCACGATCACTGGCTTTCAAGAGCCGCAGACGAACAGAAGGCGTGGACAGGGAGGACGGAAGCAGCGCCTCTTCCCTGGCTTGAACCTTGGCAGCTTCCGTGATAGGGCAGGGATATTCAATGACCTTGAACTTGCTTGTGTCACGCATCGCTTGCTTCAGGACAACTTGTACGGCGTTTGTGGCAGAGGTCGCTGCGAAGCAGGTCCGCAGTATGGGATGTCTCTGCTGCAGTTGAAACCAAGCCTCCTCTAGCCGTGCGGCATCAACACGCTCGGAGCAAAAGTACGGCCAGGCAGGTTCAAACAACTTTCTTCCGGACTTGAGCCAGCTGGCAAGGTGATAGTACTGTCCACCGAGGCACGGAAGGATTGCTTCGACCGAACTCTTCTCCAGACTAAGTCGCTGGAGGACCCCCTCCTCGACCTGCTCGTAGTTCTCAATGAGGGATCCCCGTGACTGCGTGCGATCCTCAGAGACAGGCTGAATCCGTTGACTGATACCGCGAAGAGTGTTTCCTTGCAGTATGTCGGCAACGCCAGTTCTAAGTCCCTTTGCGCGACAAAGAGAGGCGGTGCGAATGGCTGAAAGGGAGTCCAGCCCGATGCTAAAGATGCTAGTGTCCGGTTCGATATTGTCCACGGTAACACCAGCCACCGTTGCAAGTATGGATCGGACTATGTCCTCATGTACAGGCTTAGCGGAATCTTCGACCTCATCATCCCGCGACTCATCCCGAGACAATTTCATGGGGAGATCACCAAGGCCCTCGGGCACAATTGTGGCACACCTCGTGGAGTGTTCGACGATATCGCTGATGATCGCAGCATACTCATCCAGGAGCTTGTCAAGCGCATTGTGGCTGAAATGTTTTCCACTGCAGGCAGCATTGACCACAAGGCCATGGCTTGCATGATCCACCTCGATGTTCAGTTTGTACTCAGCCTGCGCGGTGTAGTCGTCAACCTCATACGGGGTCCAGATCGTCTGCTCACTGATAACACTGCCGGTAAAGTCTGCACTCTTCTGGAAGACAAAAAGAGTATCAAACAACGATGCCGAGGTAAGAGCATTGGACCGTCTGAGCGAATTTTGCACCGTCCGCAAAGGCGCATTCTGGTGCATCTGTGCATCAGTTGTCATTTGTTGCAGGCGAAGAGCCATTACCTTGTTGCTTAGAAACCTTGGCTCGAAACTGACTCTCTGGGCGACAGTGTTGAAGAGCGGTCCCAGGGTCTTCTCAGCCCCGGCCACTGACAGCGATCGCCCCGCCAGGACTTGTCCAAATACCACATCACGCTTCCCCATAAGATGAGCCAGCAATTTGGCGTAGGCTAAGAGACAGACGCTCTGAACCGTAACCTCCATTGCTTTACAAGCCTCAATCACTGTAGACAGATCGGCATCCAATAAGCGCTCGGAAGTGTACACGCAGTCGGCAGATTCAGAGGTAGGAAGCAAGGGAAGTTCAGAGATCTCATATCCCTGTAATCTTTGGGTCCAGAACTTGGACGACTCGTCTTGTCCTTTCAAAATATGCTTGACTGTTTCCGAGAAGTTCGGTCTCTCCGGGGCCGAATCACCATTGTAAATGATCGCCAAATCTTCGAAGAAGAACGGGATAGAAGCACCATCATAGAGCGCATGGTGCAAGACAATCACAAGGACCCTCCCCTCCGGTTGGCTGACCAAGAAATTCTTGAGAGGAGGAGTTTCAAAGCTCGATTCTTCCCGAAAAGAGTACATAGCCGCAATCTCTGACAGGACGTTCGCGTCAGAGGGTAGGGTGATCTCTGTCCATTCGAGTGGTGGTTTGCTATGGACAGCACCAATCCAGGAAGTCCCGAGCTCTTCTATCTGGTGGAATGAGGTGCGCAGGATATCATTTCGCTCAATGACCTGAACCAGGGCCTCTTTGAGACAAGTGATGTCAACGGAATCGGCAAGCCTGACGGGATGGGGGTAGACATAGACCTGCCCGTCGGTGGCTAGGGTTTGAGTGAGCATTCCCGACTGCAAAGGTGTAGTCTCGAACATCGCAGTGATAGAATCCTCCTTGCCCAGATGGCGGGCGTATTGACCGTAGACTGCAACGTCAATTTTGTCACCTTCAACGTTTTCTGTGTCCTGATCTGGGACCCCATTGCTGGTAACGTCATCGATGTACTTGGCCAGTGCGCCTATGCAGGGATATCGCATCACGTCGGACGAAGAGACGCTCAATCCCAATCCCACATCGCGAAGTCTACGGGAGAATTGGATCGCCGTGACCGAGTCGATACCTAGACTCAGGAACGATGCACCCTTCGTGATGTCCCCTATGGCCAGTCCACAGAAGTCCGCAGTGTGCTCTAGAAGCTGGGTTTCTATGGAGGACCAGTTGGAGTTGTCCCATGTAACAATGGGAGACTGTGTGCCCGGTGTTGAGGGCCGGGATAAGTTAAAATTGGCCAAAGAAAGACCCTCGCCAGACACCACACTCGAGATCACGGCCTCCATCTTCTCCAAAAATACCTCCGCATCGTAGGAAGATCCGAACGGCGACGAGAAGTTGCAGTGTAGTTGGATCATGTCCGTTGCATGGTTCGCCTCGACTTCAACTGCCAAGGGGTATTCTGCAGGCATGTGGCTGTCCAACTCCTGCCACAAGCAGTGTTTTGGGGAAGGTGTGGTGCGGATGTATGAGAAAAGGCAGTCAAACAGCGGTGCGTCGGCTTCGATCCATCGCTGAATGTGTCTCAGCGGAGTGTGTTGGAATTCAAGAGAACGAATTGTAGACTTTTGCACATGTTCGATTACCTCGTCAACGGTTTCAAGTTCGGTGGCATTAAGACGGCCTGGGACAGTGGTGATGCACGGTAGTAGAACGGACGATGCGCCTGGTACAGACACGGCTCTGCCCGACAGCACCAAACCGTATGTCACGTCGGGAGCTCCAACAGTATCCGCCAGAAGGAGCGCGAATACTGCTTGAAGTAGGGATGGCACGGTGGTATGGAGGGCTGCAGAGCACCGCTCCAGTTCGCTAAGACTGTTGTGGAGCTTCCTGCTTCGGGAAGCAGAATCCTCCATGGCATCGGTATCTCTTCGGAAGGTTGTGGGGCGATAGCCCGC